AAAGGGTTAATTTTTCAAACTCATATCGCTGAAAGCTTGCATACTAATTCATCAGAGGATAAATTAAGAGTCTTATAACAAGCTAACGTTTTTTCTTGAGAACAAATTTACTCAGAACGAGTTAGTAAAGACTCGTGTTCGCCTTTCTAACTGTCTTCGTCCACTGATCATTGGGTGTGAGACTTGATACTCACATAAAAGTTTTCCGAATATTTTAAAAGCTGCTTCTTTTTGAAAGAGCTATAGATATAAGAATCTTCTTTCATTTTTAACTCTTCGAATAGTTATAATTATAAGTGTTCGTGAATATGTATTAATAGTAGAAAAAAAAAATTTTTGTTCAAGAAAAATATACAATTCTTTTATTTAATTTTAAAATATTTTTTTTCTTTCATCTTTTTTTGATATAAAATCGGCTACAACAGGATCAATATCGATTTGATAAACTTTTTCTATATTTATTAATGCTAAAGATGATAATCATTCTTGTTCAGTTGTAGTCGATTTTATATCCAGAAAAGACGAAGAAAAAAAAACATTTTGAAATAAATTAAATTTCACGAAAAACAAACAATGAAAAACTCAATTTTATTGAAAACAAGCAGCAGAAAAAGAGTTGTCATTATGCTCCACCAATTATTTGCTATTTAATATAACTTCGATTCTGTCAATGAAAATAGATAAGGATCATTTAAGTATCAGCACACAATTTTAAAAAGTCGAGACTTAATCTAAGGCTACATTAGTAGTGTTGGTCAAATGTGAGGCTTTGAATAGTTTTTGCTCTGAAAGGAGGGTGTCAAAAATTATAAAAATGATTATGTATTACTTAAACGATTTCGTGTCGGATATGTACTGTCTAGAATATATCCATCAAAATAACAAAATATAGATTCATAAGACAACATTGATCAACACTTGTATATTAACTACGAGATTGTATTAAATATGTGTACTGAATTAGACAGTTTTTCTCTAATATACGAAAAAAGCACAAAAAATTTCAGGACGCAATAAAAATTTATTGCATCCCCAAATTTTTCTTAGGGGATGCAATTGCTGGCCCGTTGCTTGCTGGTGCGCCGCCCATGGATATGCACCTACATCGTCAAGATACGTCTGATAAAAGATATGTTCAACATTCAGAATTTGTAAAAATTGTTTTTTTAATATTTATATTGTAGATAACAAAGAACTGTCGAGAATTTTCCCGTTAGTCCTAATAATGAAGTAAGGTGGCGAATGTAAGGTTTTCACTTGCCAAGATCTAAGTTGCCAGAAAGCACTAGTAAGATCTTCATTTATAAACGATTCATCACCTTTGATAGTTATATTTAGATTAATTAAATGTTGTCCCCATTGATCAATCATTGATTGCCAAAAGATGGGATCACATAGCTGTTTTCGAATCTTGTCATCATAATTAGAATAATCCAATGGAGAATTTGAATAGAATTGTTTTAGATATGGACATGCACGAAGAATATATTCAATAGAAATTGGTTCACAATAACAATTCCTAAGAACAACAATATGCATATTGAGAGCACATGGAAATATGATTGGGTTTTTGCTTGGATAACGATTTTGACGATCATCATCATCTAACACACCGACGAACTGTTCTACATGTAATACTTTTAGTTGCGGTGAATAACGAAAGAGATGAAGAAGCCAAATAATAGAATAAATGTAGCCTAGCTTAAAATATGTGATTGTTGATATTGTTGGAGTTAACAATCCGAATGCTTGATGGTTGTAATCGGTATCCATGATCAAATAACGAAGAGAAAAAAATTTATCCGAACAAAACTCATGTGTTGGACACCAATGTTTGAAGTAAATATGCTCATTTTTATGACCATTTATGGTTGTTCTTGTTGTATCTATATCGATAATATAAAATAGACTTAAGATACTGTTACAAAAAATGATAATACAACCAATTTTAACATTCTAAGAAATGTTTTTCGATTTTTCTTATTGAAAAAAATAAAAATATATACATAAGGTTTCACATACCGGCAACGTTCACATAGATAAGTGTACTCTTCAAGCTAGGAAGACGTTCATGCAGTCGATTAATAACTCCATAAGTTACATCGAACAGAGTAAGTGCAGAAATTTTAGAAAATTGCTGCAAGACTTCATCGTTATCAAACAGCCACGAACGTGTCTTTTCTAATTTTCGTGAGGTAAACGATAGAATTTGATGATGATTGAGTGAGAGAACAAATGAAAAAAATTCATTTAATGGAATAGGATCAAGATCAAAATGGACGCGAACTTTAGTAAGTAAAGAATTGAAACGATGGTTCAATTGTCTGAAAGTTAAATGAAGTTGATAGGCATCAAAATATTCGAATATATTAAATAGTAATTCATTTGATAAATCTTCAAAAATCGTCACAGTATCAATACTAAAAAGAAATTAAACGTCATTATAATCGTGTTCTTTTTTTTCTAAATTAATTAACAATTTCTTATTTGATGACGACCAATCCGATGATTTAAGTTGATTGGACATTGAGAAGTATAAGACTCTTTTTCAGTTGTCAAATAGAATACTCAACTAGACTCGTAAATAATTTCTTTTATGTTATACTTACTAAATTTTATCCGCAAACGAGTCTTGCATCGAATAATATGTAAAAAAGTAATATGAAACAAATACAAAACACGTGTTACTTGTTGTGTGATGGAGATACGAGCACAGAATAGAAAAGAAAAAAGTCACTATTATATTCTGAGGCTATTTTTCAATGACATCGTACTTATTTTTACTGTTGCATTAAAATCATCAAAAAGTAGTTTTGTCAATTATCTAGTGGAAACTAAAATTTGAGAAGGATGGATGTGAATGTCGATTCTTCATTTCTTTATCAAAGCACACACCCACATCCTCAGTTATATCAAATCAATATCCAGTCAAAATAAATAAAGACATAGTTTTGTTACATGTTAAAAGTGAGTATATATAGAAGATATAAATGTGTAATTTATATGAAATTGATTTCATTTAAAAAGAGTTAAATAGTGCGAGTAGTCATGTTGAGAAAAATTGCCGTTGTTTGATCATTTAAATCAAAAATTTTTGGCATCCATGTATTGGCAACTAGAAAGATGACTAAAAAGCCAATGAGATTCATCACTATTCCAGTTTTGATCTATAGATTTGAAGTGGAGTTTAATATTCGATTAAAATAAAACTAGAACTTACCATATCAATGACACGAATAGCACCACTAGCAAAAACAATGGCATTTGGTGGTGTAGCTATATAGAATAAAAATTGCACTTTATTTTATATCATTGCATGTCAATACTTACCGATGGGCAACATAAAGGCGAGAGACACAGCCAGTGTACATGGAAGTATAAGAAACGCTGGATGTATGCCACTTGAAGTTGCCTAATTATATCAATAGAAACAAATGTAACATGAATATTTATCTGTCAAATGTCATCTAGATTTTTCATAAATAAGTTATTAGTTAACTTACCACAGAATCAAGTACAGGAAAAAAAATAGTTGCCGTACTTAAATTCGATGTTACTTCAGTAAAAAAACCACTGATAACAACAATGATTATAATAGCTGCAGCTTGCGGCATATTGGAGATAAAACCAAGAGCTTTTGCTACGCTTTCTGACAGCATTGATGTCTTAAAAATTAAAAGATACATACGTATTATGCAATTCTCTTAACTTCAACATACTTGAAAAGCAGAGGCTAATGAAAGACCAGCACCAAGAAGAATTATTGCACCCCATGAAATATTCTGCACTAGACTAGTCCATTTGACAATTGGCTCGTATTTCCAATCATGTCGTCCTTATAAAGAAAAGCATTTATTTTAATTGTCAACTAGAAAAATATCTTACGATTAAATGGATTGCTATCAGGTAGGATTAATGGAAGTATTCCACAAAAAATTGCTACAGTACCATCACTGATGTGACTACAATAAATCATGTTTTTATTATATTTAGTTTTCTTTTTGAAAATCATTAAACAAATACTCGCGTTTAAATATCATACTCCATCCTGTTGTATCGGAAAACTCTCTTCCCATGTCGCTCTTTTTTCAATAAAACCGTCGGTAACCGTCGGTTGTGCTAAGAACCAGCGGTGACCGGTGGTTGAAGCTAGAACCGACGGTTAACCGCGGTTACCGATCGGTTTCGACTAGCGGATTTTAACGATGAAACGATAAACAAAAACAAACAAACTATATGTAGTGATGTAAAAAAAATTAGAAATAATCATCAATATGATTAGAATTATCTTGTTCTACTTGTTTTATCAAGATTTAGAGAAACAAAACTCATATTTTAAAGCTATACTAAGATGTCGCTTTTTTCTTTCTCATTGGATTGATTGAAATTGTTTAAGACTTGTTCATTAGATAAAGGATATAATGAATGAATCGATTGTTGAAAATAACTTTTTAAGTTTATAATATCTACGTATATAGTTTCCATTTTTATTTGTTAATTTGTCTAGAAATTTCTTGAACAGTTAATCTCATTTTTAGATATCAATATTCTCTTCATGGATAAAAAATTCTTTTATTCTCGTCGAATTATCAAAGAAAAAGGTAAATATCAATTGTATCAATATTTTTTGTCTCAAATAACAAAATTTATATTTTCAAGATCAATGTAACATTAACTGATGATCAATTTGGTGATGAAAATATAATCGTTGAAGATTCACCATTTAAATCTACATTAGTAAGTTATATTTAGCAGGTTTTTCTTGTGAACTTTTGGCTGTTGTTTTTTTTAGATTTATGTCAATTCAGAAGGCGTATCTGTGGATCTACTTCAGTTGTATGGTGCTCAAACTCATATGGGTCGTTATGTTGCACTTGTAATGGATAAGTTATTTACGTTCGAAGAAATAACGACCATTACTAAAGATGAATTTGTAAAGGATGAACGACACTTAATTATTAAAGGTAAAACAAAAATCAGTTTTTATCATAGTCACTTCTTAAATATGGTTCTATTTAGAAGCAGTTCGATCAAGATTCAAGCTGAATCATGAAATGTTACGGTCTGAATGGTCAACCTCGCATGAATGCATTCTTCATAAGAGACGCAATGAATTGAAGAAAAAAAAAGTAGTACTGGTAATGTAACAGTGCAACCTGCACCACATGTAGCACTACACGACGATTTTGATGAATTTATTGGTTCATTCGCAAATTAAAAAGCTTGTTAAATATCTTTTTTACCTCTATTTTCTTGTTTCAAGTATTTTTACTTTATTAAAAACATTTATTTCTTACATATTACATGATTATTGTTATAATATGTAATACTTCTTTATTAACTGTTTTTATCATACAATCGTAGTTAGAATAGTAGAATATGTACTTGATTAATGTTATTTTACGTTGTAACTCGTGTTTTTGTAGACGCATTCTGCCTGTGTGAAAACATAATGTACGCGTCTTTTTTGTTTGTCTCATTGC